GCAGAGACTGGACTGAGGGGCCACCAGCCAGGGCCACCTGGAGCCCAGAAGCTGGGAGATGCAGGAGGAGCCTCCCTAGAGCCTGTGCAGGGAGCTCAGCCTGGGACCCTGGTCCAGCCTCCACCCTCCAGGGTGGGAGAGGACAAGGTCCTGTGGTTTTCAACGCTGGTTTGTGGTCATTTTCTACATCAGCCCCAGTGTTCCCTACACTGGCCAAGTGCTGAGCGGCCATCCTGGCACTGCCGCCATCTGCACAGGTCACCCTGTAGCTGGACAAGCATGTGGTGCTGCCTTCCCACTCCTGGACCCTGAACACCATAGCACAGAGCACCCCATGGCCCCTCCTTGACTGACTGCCCTGTGCACACACCTGTCTCGGGGTCCATGCGGATCACCCTGCCTCTGTCAATGCAGGCCACCCAAAGTGTCCCTGTGGTGTCCATGCACAGCCCATCTGGCATGCCTTGCTCTGGCTCCAGCTGGCACACCAGCCATGGGTTTGCTGTGGCAGGACAGAGGCACGTGGCCCCTCACAGCCCAGACCAGGAGGTCATGTTGCATGGCCTCAACCATGGGAGGGAGTTACAGACCTGGTGGTGCATCTGGGACCCCAGGAGGGGACTCGGGAGGATGTTGAGGGACTAGCCACAAAGGCTCCCCCCCGGGGAGGGTATGGGGGGCTGGCCACGGGAGGCCCCACCCAGGGAGGGCTTGTGGTGCTGGCCATGGAGGCCCCTACTCCAGGGAGGACGTGGGGGTCTGGCCACGGAGGACCCCACCTGGGGAGAGTGTGGGTGGCTGGCCATAGAGGCTCCTACCCCAGGAAGGGTATGGGGGGCTGGCCACGGAGGCCCATACCTTAGGGAGGGTGTGGGGAGCTGGCCACGGAGGCCTTCACCTGGGGAGCGTGTGGGGGACTGGCCAGGGAGGCCCCTACCCAGGCCTCCTGTCTGCACGTTGTAGTCATAGGCCCGCACAGGGGAGACCAGGCTGTCCATGTGGTAGAGAGTGCGGTGGTCCAGGGACCAGTCCAGCCTGTTGGGATGCCCAGCTGATCCAGCTGTCTGATCACAGAGCGGTCAGCGTAGAGTGTACAGGGAGCCCTGCCCCGGCTCCCACACTCCTGGAGCGGATGCCTGGGGAATGGTGCCTGGAGAGAGTGGAAGGTCAGTGGGCAGCAACCCAACCTGCCTTGTCCACCCCACACAGACCCGCTGTGCAGAGAGCTATGGTCACCCTCAGTTGGGGGACAGCAGCAGGATGGCCCTCAGGCAGCATCTGTGAATGAGCCTCTGTGCTGGGCGAAGGGGGAACCCCAGAGATGTTCCACTGGGAAGAGGCCTGCTCAGGCAGAGATGCAGGGCCCTCAGCTGCACGTGAATGGCCTCTGGCCAGCAGCCCTGGCCACTGCCCCACCCTGGAGGCTTCGACCCTCCCAAGGTCCTCTCTGGGCAGGGACCCAGGAAGAATTACATGAAAGCCATGGGCTTTGGAGCGGGCGGGAATCTGTGGGCTGCCCAGCACCTGCATAACCTCGGGTGCTGCTTGCCAGCAGCCTGGGGAGAGCTCCTGAGGTCCCCAAAAAGCCCGCACCCACCATCACGACAGACTCTCCAGGTTGCCTGGGCCACCTTAGGCAAACTGGGCCACAGCCAGTCCTTTCAGCAGCTCACCTGCCTCAAACCTCCCAGTGGGGTCCACCTTCCCATCATTGGACCTGTTGTGGGGCTTGTCATGGTCCAGCCAGGCCACCCACTCCACCTGCCCCGTCTCCCAGTCCAGGAGGCCAAGGCAGGTACCAGAAGCCACCATGTAGATGCCTACTCTGCACAGAGCCACACAGCCACCAGGGTCTCCTGGGAGGACAGAGGATACAGGGCAGCAGGGTGGCCCAGCTGCTGCTTCTCCAGGAGACAGTGCCACCCCACCCATGTGGCTTCTGCTGGGAGGCTCCGTCAGGGCACAGAGCACGTCTCAGCACAGGACCAGTCCTGCTGGGCCTGCGTGGACCACCTCTCTACGCCCCCCTCCCCACAACGGCCACCACAGGGCCTCCAGATGGGACTGGAGGCTGCCGAGCCTGCCTGCAGGGCCACCAGGACTGCAGAAATGGAGAGCGCTGGTGTCTCCTCACATCAGTGCCAGTGTGAGAGCCGTGGGTGCCCCTGAGCCCTCGGGTAGGACCGCTGGGCCTGGGGCAGGCTCCACAGGAACATACCTGAGGCCAGACACAGACTTKGGGCCAGCCCTGATCTGCAAGGGGGACAGTGGCACTTGCCCTTGGGGAGGGTGAGGGTGAGTGGAGGATGCTCCCAGAGTGCTGCTTCTGCTCCTCAGAAGGCCCACAGGGGTCGTCATCCACACAGGTGTCCAAGCCCCACAGACACACAGGTACCTCCCAGGTGTGCGAGCCCATAGGGGTCATCAGCCACACAGGTGTGTGAGCCTACAGGGGTCGTCAGCCACATAGGTGTGCAAGCCCCACAGACACACAGATACCACCCAGGTGTGTGGGTCCATGCACACACATGAGCCTGGAAAAAGCACAGTCACTCCCACCCTGGCTCCTGAGTCAGGACAGGTGCGTGTGTGGCAATACCTGGGGTCAGAGCCAGGCGC